CAGGTGGGTCCCCATGCCAGCAACCAGAAAGCCACCTCTGGTTAAGACCACCATTTGTCTTTCCCTTTCCCCGTAACTCAGAGTGAAAAACGACCCGCACACATTGTGGCTGGTGGTAACAGAGGGGTCACCTCCCGGGAAGTTTTTATAAATACATGGGCCGCAGCTTCTGAGGAATCTGCAAAAGACATCGCAGTAGACAAGGCTCTGTCAGGCGGAGGACACAGCTTTATTAGTTAAACCCACGGAACAGGACCTATGCAAGTGGAGGAGGATTTGGTGTTAAGGTTAAGACAAATCATATGTGCTTCTTTTTTATCGATTGTAATGGTTAAGTTCCACGGACAAGTAATTTCAATAAATCACATCTCCTGCGGATAAATACAGGGCTTTTATTTCTAGAAGAACAGCTCACAGATTTTTGCTAGACCTTACTCCACGGTTTCCTACTGACCCATCACAGATTAAAACTTAAAATTTGCAGATACAGAAACTGGAACCCAAAGGTGACCTAACCCAGAGAGAGGATTCCTGCAAGGATCTAAAGTTGCTGACCAGTGTGCTCTTCCAGTGGGCAGTATATCGTAGTGGGCATAATATTGTACAGATGTCGAACAAATGGTTTCTGTGGTATTATCAGAATTACACACCAGTGTTGTGTGTCAGGGTTAGGTCAGGGAAGGTATTAGCTTCAAAAGAATTTTGCTACAAGAGTTTGAGATTCTAGACTGGAAAAAAAAGAAATGGTAACTTTTGAAGGGAGTTTGTACCAGATAAGCTCATTCTCATTCAGAAGAGATGGCATCTCCCAGGGCAAGACTGGTGGCCGACCCGGAGTACACCCACCCTAGGTGAGTGCTTGGGAACCAGTCTGAACCAGAAGTAAACTTGGAAGTTTCTGGCCCTCCACAGCAGGAGATGGACCGTCTGGTCGGATGGTACAGGTGCACTCAGATCTCAAGGTCATCTGGGTTGTGGAACCAAGCTTCTGGAAGGAAACTTGGGTCCCATTCCTGAGTGGGCTGCTGACTCCACCTGTTAACAGGAGCCTTCCTGTCCACTCCTTAGCTGCCCCGTGAGCCGCATGAGCGATGAGGGACACCTTAGGATTTCCAGACTTCAGAATTGGGAGTGAGCAGAAAATGAGCCCACCCGGCCAGAAGGGTGTTACCTGCAGGCCTGTCGGTGAAGTGGGCTTTGGAGTCAGAGGGAAGCCCAAGTCCTGGCTCTGTGTCACTTCCTGCCTCTGGGTGTCAGTTTCGTCATCTAAAGAACGGGGGTTATCACCCCTACTGCACGGGATTATTCTCGGGATTAAATTAGAGCATGTAAATTAGAGGTGCTGGACTCGTGCCTGCTACAGAGTAAGAGCCTGTGGTGCAGCAGCGGTTGATGCTACATAACTGGTTGTCTGATTTCCCAGCCTACTGCAGACTGGAGCCAGCAGATTAGAAAGGCCCGGGGGACTGCTTCGGGAAGGCCCACTGACAGCAGGAAAAGGTGACAGGTCGAAGCCCGACTACAAGGGAGGCAAGAGAAAAACTATAAAAAGCAGGAACAAAAACTCAAAAGGCACAGCAGTCTGGGGCATTTACTAAAAGACAAAGAGCCCTCCTCAGGTCAGTAGCTTCCGGGAGACTCCGTACCTCGTACAGGGACTCATGGTGCCAGCAGTTGTGTGAATTACTTCTTTCTTTGTCCCCTTTCCCCTCAAGAAATAGGTGTGGGGATGGGTCGAGGTTCGCCTTTCAATGGGGACGCTCTAACCAAATGCTTCCAGGTCATGAAACCCCCAAAGTCAAGGCCAGCAAAGGAGGAGAGACTAGCGTGGGATCCTTTGGTTGTCCGCAAATAACACAAGTTCGAGGACAGCCAAAGAGCTGTGATTTTTAGAGCTACAGATAGAAAGATGCCCTTCTCCCCCCCCCCAACCCCACCACCACTTCTTCCACCTTCACCTCTCAGGGTTGGAAAGGGAGCCCTTGGGGACAGGCTTCCAGGTCCTGGTGTGTGGCACGGGGGAGGGGGTTGGGGGCAGAGAGAAGAGAAGGGCAGGCTGCAGAGATGTCAGTCCCTTCTGATGCCATTTCCACCCTGGCGTCCAGTCCACCATCTGGGGTGGACACTGTTTTTAATGGAAGCCTTGAGCTGCTCACCTGGAAGCAGAGGCTCAGGCCGAGGAAGGCAGGATAGACTCAAAGCACCTGTAGGACTATGCCTCGAGTGTTACTGGCCAGGTGGGACTTGGGCGGGCCTTCCTGAGGCTCGGGGAGGATTCAGGTAGACAATTGCTCTTAGAGCGCCCTGAGGCGATCCGAGCTGAGGACCCAAAGGCTCGTTCCAAGCCCAGCTGGCGGGCCATCCCCTGGGTGGGGTTTGGCTCAGAAATGCAGTGGGGATAAACCCACAAGCTGCTGCCTTTCAGAGGGGGTAAGTGACACAGTGATGGGGACCACAGACTCCGGACCTGGCCAGAGGCTGAATCTCAGCACTGCTGCTTACCTGTGTTACACCTCGGTCTGCCTCAGTTCCTCCACCCCTCAGACTGGGGGGAATGGCACCCACTCATAGGATTTCCCTGGAATTAAGTCCATTAATACCTCGGAGGCACTTAGAGTATTGTCCCGGTGCATGGTAACCACTAGAACTTGAGTGCTACTGTCTCATCTCTGCAGCTGAGAAGGGCTGGGGGCCGTGGGCGTGGCCCACCTCAGCGACCTGATCAACATGCTCAGCGTTTCTGTGCACGCCACCAACCCTCTGCAGTGGGGGACGTGGGCAAAAGCAAGTGGGGTTGGGAGCCACTGCAAAGGATTTTCCTCCTGTTAAAATAAGAGGGGACCCTATATTGTTAGAAACTGGACCGTATTATGGCCAAATGGGAAGTGCGATTTATTTTAGGGGGAACGTGGTTTCCCTACCTATCGTGCGTTGCTGATATAGTACTTACTGGCCAGCCACCCTAACACTGTCGTAGTAGGCTCTCGCTCTCGCTCTCGCTCTCGCTCTCTCTCTCTCTCTCTCTCGCTCTCTCTCTCTCTCTCTCTCTCTTATTTTCCCTAATGGTGTGGAACAGAGCTTGAATAATAAATGTTTAACAGGGACATTCCCTTTTCTCTGTTAAAATAATCTTTGTTTCAGTGCTTTAACAAGGAAGACTGTGTCTTCCTACCTCTGCTCTCGTGTTACGTTGGAGCCAGGTCTCAGGAGGAAAGGAAAATAAGCACAGGCCACTCGGGGGGTGGGGGTTAGCAGTAGGCTGGGGCCTTCTTCCTGGGCAGCACAGGGCCAGGAGCTCGTGTGCGCATATCCGCACGGTCCAGGGGCCGACAGCGGGACATCGGCGGGCAGGGAGGTGGAGGTGGATGAGAGCAGCTGCAAGACCACCAGGGGGAAAGGAGTGGGTTGTTAACAAAGGCGGGACACTGGGCAGGGCCTGTCTTTTCCTACGAGAAGTTTCCAGCGGATGTGCTGACTTCTGATGGCGGGAAACGAGGCATCTGGGCGCCTTGGCGATGCTTGTGTCCAGCACAGGTGGGAGGGCCCCACCGAGGACGCGTCGCCCTTTCTGCCCGGACTTCGGGTTGCATCCACGGCGACTTGGGCTTCTCGTTCATGTCTAGGAAAAATTCACACACAGTCACTCAGGTGGGCAGAAACTTTATTTCTCTTTAACTGAACTGAACTCACTCACGAGCCTCCATTTAGACCAGTGGTGGAAACATCTTAATCTTTTTTCCATTTCTACTGTTGACAAAAAAAAAAAAAAAACCCAAAGAAAGAAAATTTAATCTTTTTTCCATTTCTTCTAATGGTGGAAAAAAACCATAATCTTGCCATTTCAAGGTAACTCAGTCTCTTCCAATAGAAAGTGTAGACAATCCCTTTGTTACTCAGGCCATCAGGATTTAAACAGAATTGATTCCGAGCTGAAATTCCCTATCGGGCTGTTGGTTTTCTCAGAGGTTCTCACCTCCCACCTGTCTATGCCAAGATGTTGCCTGAGTACAGGGGGAGTTTAAAGGTGAAGGGACTTACTGCCTCCATTGGGGTGGCTTGTCACAGGAGGCCTTGGGCGGGGCCCAGATCTGCTGACATCTGTGGCCAGGCCTCCTCCCTCCTGCCTGGGTTGCTGAATCTCTGCATTCGGGGCCCTGCGTAACCACCCTCAGGCCACCTCTGTTCTCCCCAGCTCTCAGTGCTTCCTCACCTCCTACTGGGACTTGGGTGCTCTGTTCTCAGTTCGCGGGAAGCCAGGGGCTCTCAGGTCCCCTCTGCTTAATTCTAGCACCCCGCTGTTTCCACTGAACTGCAGCCACAGGCGATAGGAGCCCCCTCTCTCAGGGTTCCCGCAGCAGGTAGGGCCTAAGCCCCTTCCCCAGAGTGAGATCCGGGGGAGTTCCAGCCCTCCTGCCCACCCTCTTCATTCTCCAGGCCCCTTCCCTGCTCCCTGCCTCCAGGAAGAGCTTATATCTCTTCTCTGGGTGGCAGGAAACAGCCCCTTCCTTTCCACGGCTTGTAATAAAATCTCTAGGCTCTGAGTTCTTCAAGCTCTGGTTCCTTGGAACCTAGTAGTTTCTCTCTCTCTCTTTCTCATCTCATAAAAGCCTACCTGGCTCTGGCACGAAAGCCTGAAAGCCTTGGCTTTTACAGCGTTTTACAACTGAAATAGCATTATTTTGGAACTTAAAAGCTACACACTGACTGCTTTGTTCCTGTCTGCGTCCCACCCTCCCGCTCGGGCAAAGGAGGCCACAGCGCACTGGGTCGAGGGCCCCAGGCAACAGAAACGACCCGGAATGAAACAGGCACTGATACTGCAGAATATCGTCCTGCTGCACGTATCGTTCGGGACACCCAGACTCAGCTCTGGACGGCGTGGCTTCATCCGGGGCCCATGCTGCTGAGAACCGCGCCCCGCGCTGCGGGCAGCCCGGCGGGGGCGGAGCGGAGCGGCAGGGCCGGATCCCCAGGTGGGACGCTGGAACCAGGGAGCCCTGTGCAGGGTCTCTCCACTGCGTGGTCTCGGCAGAGATGCCCTGTCGTGGGTTCATTTGCTGATGGAGTGTGACGTGAGTGCTGGTCTCATTCCAGCTCCCGTGTCTTCTCCCTGATGTGTTCAGTGTGTGTGCGGACAGTGCACGCCTACGCGCACCTAGGTGGTGGCCTTGGACGGGTGTCGGCCTCACATTGGGTATTGATTTTAGTCTCTGTGTTTAGAGTAAATGGGAGGGAAATACGTATATACAGTTGACCCTGTAGTCAGTGTGACAGCCTGCACAATGTCTTGGCAACCTTAGCCGTGTCATAGATCATGCAAGAGGGGACATGGAGCAAGGAGGGTCATGGCCTGGGGTCTGGAGCCCTGGTGTCTCGTTCTGGCTTGGACGGTAGCCCTGGCCCCCAGCCACTGTGCCCTCTCAGAGGCATTCCTACCTCCTCGTGGAAAGGGGCGGTTCCTGGAGGACTGCCAGGCTCAGTTCCAGCATTGACACTGTGCTCAAGGAAATGCTTCCCGAGACACCATGTGGTTTGGCACTCGACTCCTTCTCCGCTAAAAACTGGTAGTGGGAGAAATGCTGAAAGAATACTAATCATTTTTACAATCCACATTCAACAGTTATACATTAATGAAATCGACTCTGACTCATGGCTCAAAGTTGCTGTGAGTGTTCGTGCCCAGCCCCCGCCTACCTGCCCAGGTGCCCACTGAAGGGCCAGAGCAAAAGGAAAGGTCTGCATTGTAAACACTCAGGTCCCCAGTGCTCTGTCTGAAATCGTCGCCTGTTATTCTCTTCAATTCAAAATAATGAACTAAGCCCCGATATTTGAATCCTTCTACTTCCCAATGTCCCCATCTTTAGAGACATTCGTATCTCTCTTTGGCCTCCTCAGTGGTCCATGCCCCCGGCCTCTTCTGGGTGGGACATCGTCTCACTTAGCCAGGGGGCCAGCTGGGCAGCCCTTCAGCTCACCTTGGGCTCCTTTTTGTGACGCTGTGGGAACTGCTGAGGTCCTCCGGGGGTTGTGGAGAACTGCAGAGGGGAGACCCCACGTCCTCCAGAGACACACTGAGGCGTTGTCCTGAGCTCTCCTGGAAAGCACCCTGTGCTCAGAAATCCATAGGCCTAGCTTGGGGCAGGTTTTTTTGTTTTTTTTTTCAAATCTTCAAGACGTGAATATTTTAGAAAATAGAAAAAGAAGAAATGTTCATTTTTTAAAATAAAGCTAACTTAAGTCTGATACCAATACCTAACCAGAATGCAAAAACAAAATCTCACTTTCAAATACAGATGCAAAAACCTTAAATATAGTAGCAAACTCAGTCTAGCCATAGAATAAAAGCATAGTACATGAACCAGTGTGGTTTTTTCAAGTGGTCACTCATTCAAAAAAAATCTCCTGAAATTAATCTTAACAATACTCAAAGAACAAAAGAGTATGATCCAGTCAAAATTGAAATGAGATTTTTGTGGGAGAAACTTGCTATATTGATACTAAAGTTTAACTAATTAAATTATTTCGCAAGAATAGCTAGGAAATTTTGAAATAGAAGAGTAATTACTGGGTACTTGTTTTACTGGTTATTAACATTTGTTTTAAAGCTACAATATTTAACATGATACGTTTCTGTTAATGAAATAAATCAGTGAAACAAAATAGAAAATCCTAAAATAGATCCAAGTGCCCAGGATAATTAAATATATGACAAAGATAAAGATAGTATTTGAAATCAGAGGAGGGAGGATGAATTATTTAATAAATTATGTTGGTGTAACGGCTTAAGCATTAGGTCCTTACTTCTTTTTGCCAAAATCCAAATGGATTAAAAGTAAAAGTTCTGGCATGAAAAAAAATTAAAGTACTGGAATAAAATTTAGTTGAATATTTATATGTGATCGTGGGGAGTAAACCATGAATGAAAAGTTTAACTAATTTGACTGCTTATACTGTTTTAAATGTCTGTACAAATGCCAAAACCAAACAGAGACCCCACTTCCTGCCCCTTTGCCAGCACAAACTCAAAAATAAAATGGAAAAAAAAAACCATTATGACTGAGAATAATGTTTATACCAAATGTGACAGATAAAGCACAAATGTTTGTAGATGAAGGGGCTCCTAAAATTTTTAAGAAAATGATAGAAAAATGAATTGATGGTAAATTTCAACTATCTGGGGAAAAATTCACGTCCTATGACCATTAAATCCCTTCCTAGGAATTTATCCTCAGGAATTAATTGTGCACATATGTAGATATTTATGTATAAGCTATTTTTCAAAGAGGAGACAGAAGGAAGAAATGAAGAAAGGAAGAGAAAAGATGGGAAGGAAAGAAGAAAAGAAGGAAGGAAGAAAAAGAAGAAAGGGCCTTCAGTGTCCAATAGGGGATTAGTTAGTGAAATTCTTTTATATGTTGTTAGAGTTAACAGCCGATCAGTCACTAAAAGTAATCTGGAAGGATGTTCACAATAGCATGTACAAGAAGATTGTTTTATAAAAACAACTCTATGTAAATATATGCACAAATTCATAAAGACATCTGGAATCTGATAGTTTCACATTGGTTATCTCTGGGTTAATGGGTTACAGCTGACTTTTCTTCATTTTGCATGCATTTTCTTTTCTCTTACAATTACCAGTGTTTTTTTAGCTTTGAAAAAAATAATTTTTAATGTTATTCTGAGAACCCCAGGCTTGGTATAATAAGCCCGGGACATCACACTGGTCTGTAAATATTTTGGTTCCTCCCCTCCTGCCCTACAGCCTGCCATGGCCTAGCTCCCGGCCACCAGCTCTTCGAGATGTCTCTGAGCACCAAGACCCTCCCCGTTCCCTTCTCCTCAGAGCTGCTGAGCCACGTGTGATGCCCTCCCCATGTTTGTTCTTTAAATGTTCTGCGTGCATTGCCCAGTCTCCACGGAGAACCCGGGAGCTCCCTGAGGGCAGGGCTGGGCCTCTCTTAGGGCTCGGGCAGCAGCGCTGAGCAGCTGCTTCCAGGAGACAGGCTGGGCTTGGGTCTCTGCCCGGGGAGCACTGCAGACAGACACGGGCCCAGGAAGTGGGCTAGGGCCGCCGGCAAAGCCAGAGACCACAAACACAGCTCCGCAAGCCGGGTGGGGCCAGCCCTGTCGTGGGAAGCAAGCCGGGGCCAGCTGTTGACGGTCTCTGCAAACTTTTCCACATTTGCAGTTTCCCTTGGCTAACTTGTCACGTTAACCTGTACTTTTTGTCTCCATGTCATGCGGACAGGTTCTAACATTCCCATGGACCAGCCCTGCTGTCGTGGTCTCTATGACTTTGAGCCAGAAAACCAAGGAGAATTAGGATTTAAAGAAGGGGACATCATTACGTTAACCAATCAGATAGACGAAAACTGGTATGAAGGAATGATACACGGGGAGTCTGGATTCTTCCCCATTAACTATGTTGAAGTGATCGTGCCTTTACCTCAGTAAACGTGTAACAAAAACTGTGGACATCCTTTCGTAACTGAAATGAATTCACACCAGTGTTCTCTCCCTGTGGTGTTCTGTGACATCCTTGCTCTCTGACCAACTTAATGACTTTTGTATGTGTGTTCTCTTTATAATGTATTTTGTATCGATTTAATTTGTATAAATGATGTTCTTGCCCTAGCTACATGGAAATATAGTTTTCTTTTTTGCTTATTGTCCTAAAAGTCATTGGTTAAATGTATGTGCTTCCTGTTGCTAAAAATAAATCACCCCCATTGCAGTTATGTCAGCGATTGCCTATATTCCTCAGCTGCAGTGGAATGCAAAGTGTGAAACTAAGAAACGCTCAGTATTCTGTTTCTTGACATTACTGATGGCATCTGGTCTTTTCCCTTTGTTGTATTTTGAGCTGACCTGTGAATAGCCCCAATAAATATGACACACCGTGTTGGCAAAAAGGCCTTGATTATTTTTAATGTCGAATTGATTTTTAAGCACAGTCTCCCGGCTGCAGACCCCTCCCGTGCCGGACGGCTGACCGGAGGCTCACAGCACGGGTCTCAGATGCCAGCTCCTCACCGGCGTCTGCAGGCCTGAGCCGGGCGTTCAGTTTCCACCTAAAATAGCACACACCCTCCTTGCAGTTGCGGGATAGAAAACCCTTCCGCCTACTTTCAAGTTTTATAGATGGGCCCAACTCAAGCTGCTTCTGCTGCCAAATGCTGGGTAGGCTTTCCGAGCAGGTCCTGTTACGGATGCTGAGGAAGCAGCATGGTCAGGAGGTGGGCTGAGCGCTCAACGGCGCAATCACCTAGGGTCAGCACGCCGGCGCCGGCCTTGCCCAGCGCCTGCACTTGTTGTGCGCTTTGGCCCACTGGGGTCCACAACATTCTGGGTGTGGGGGAGGGGCGGGCATTAGTTCCCGTTTGCAAAGAATGAGGCTCACCAAATGGCTTGCCCAGGGTCACACGACCAGGTACAGGCACACCTCAGAGATATGGCGAGTCCAGTTCCAGACCAGGACAGTAAAGCCAATATGGCAATAAAACAAGTCACACAAATTTGGGCGGGTTTCACCATGCATACAAAAGTTATGTTTACACTGTACTGTAGTCCATTTAGTCGATTAAATGGGTGGTAGGATTATGTTTTAAACAATGTACATTATTTACATCTTAATTAAAAAAACACTTTATTACAAAAAAATGCTAGCGATTATCTTGAGCCTTCAGTGAGTTGTAATCTTTTTGCTGGTGGAAGGACTTGCCTAGATATTGGTGGCTGCCAACTGACCAGGGTGGTGGTGGTTGGTGAAGGTGACTGTGGCAATTTCTTAAAATAAGATGACAATGAAGTCTACTACATCAATTGACTCCTCCTTTTATGAAGGATTTCCCCGTAGCCTGCCATGCTGCTTGATAACATTTTACCCACAGAGCCTCTTTCATAATTGGAGTCTCCTCTCAAATTCTGCTGCTGCTTTATCGACTAAGCTCATGTAATATTCTAAATCCTTTGCTGCCATTTAACAGCATCTTCACCTGGGGTGGCTTCCATCTCTGGAAACCACTTCCTTTGCCCATGCGTAGGAAGCAGCTCCTCGTTATGAGATTTTTGCCAGTTCTCTCATGACATTGCAGCGATCCAGTCCCATCTTCAGGCTCCACTTCCAATTCCAGTTCTCTTGCTGTTCCCACCTCATCTGCAGCTCCTCCCTCCACCGAAGACGTGAACCCTTCCAAGTCATCCACGGTGGTTGAAATCAACTTCTTCCAAACTCCTGTGAAGGTGGGTATTCTGATCTCCTCTCATGAATCACGAATGATCTTTAATGGCATTTAGAATGGTGAATCCTTTTCAGAAGGTTTTCAATTTACCTCACCCAGATCTGTCAAAGGAATCACCACATTTTGTATTTCTTAAATAACAAGACTCGAGAGTCAGCATTATTCCTTGATCCGTGGGCTGCAGAATGGATGTTGTGTTAGCAGGCATGAAAACAGCATTAATCTCCTTGTACGTCTCCATCAGAACTCTTGGATGGTGAGGTGCATTGTCAGCGAGCAGACATATTTTGAAAGGAATCTTTCTCTGAGCAGCAGGTCTCAACAGTGGGCTTAAACTGTTCAGTACACTTTGCCGTAAACAGATGTGCTGTCATCGGTGCTTTGCTGTTCCACTGATGGGGCACAGGCACAGGCAGATGTAGCATAATTCTTAAGGGCCCTAGAATCTGTGGAAGGGCAAATGAGCACTGGCTCCAAGCTAACGTCACCGGCTGCACTAGTCCCTAGCAAGAGTCAGCCTGTCTTTTGAAGATCTGAAGCCAGGCATTGACTTCTCCTTTGTAACTATAAGTCTGAGATGGCCCCTTCTCCCAGCAGGCTGTAGTCTACACTGTTGAGTGTAGCCACCTTCATCAATGATGTTAGCGAAATCTTCTAGATAACTTGCTACAGCTCGTGCTGCTTCACCTTGCACTTTTATGTGACGGAAATGACTTCTTAATTTAAACCTCATGAACGAACTTCTGACATTTTCAAACTTTTCTTCTGCAGCTTCCTCACCTCTCTCGTCCATCATAGAATTGAAGAGAGTTAGGGCCTCACACTGGATTAGGCTTTGGCTTAAGGCAGCGTTGTGGCTGGTTTAATCTACCGTGCAGACCACTAAATCTCTACATCGGTAAAAGGCTGTTTCACTTTCTTAGCATTCATGTGTTCACTGAAATAGCACTTTTAATTTGCTTGAAGCACTTTCCCTTTGCGTTCACAACTCACCTATTTGGCACAAGAGGCCCAGCTTTCGTCCTGGTTCAGCTTTAGACGGGCCTCCCTCGCTAAGCTTGATCATTTCTAGCCTTTGATTTAGGGCGAGAGGCATACAACTCTTCCTTTTACTTGAACGCTTAGAAACCATTGTGGGGTTATTAATTGGCATGATTTCAATATTGTTGTGTCTCAGGGAACAGGGAGGCCCAGGAAGAGGGAGAGGCGATGGCTGGTCAGTGGACACACAGCATGGATTGATAAAGTTCACTGTCTGATATGGGTCTGGTTCATGGTGCCCCCAAACAATTGCGATAGCAGCGTCAAAGATCACCGATTACGGGTCACAATAACAGATATAATGAAAAAGCTTGAAGTATTGCGAGAATTGCCAAAATGTGACACAGAGACACACAGTGAGCACATGCTGTTGGAAGAATGGCACAGATAGACTTGCTTGAAGCAGGGTTGCCACAAACCTTCAATTTGTAAAAACAAACCCATGTGTGTGAAGTGCAGCGGAACGAGGCAGAGTTTCAACTCAGACTGTCTGCTGCACCCCAATGCCCACGTAAGCATTCACCCTAGTTGCTTGGAAGCGCGCTGCCATTCCCGGATATTTGTAACAAACATCTAAAACAGGTGGCCTGAGCCAGGTTCCCCGTCTTCTGAGTCCACGGTCCGTCAGTAAATTCACGACAACGTGCTTCTGCCGGCTGCACACGCACCTTCCGTAGATCAGCTGTACATTCAGTGTTTGTAGTAGTGCAATACAGTAGCTAGCCCTTGTGTGCTCACCGTGTGCCGCGTGCTATTCCAAGGATCTTACATGAATAAACAAAAGCGAGGTAGTCCTTATGCCTGCTTTTCAGATACAAGAACTGAGATGCAGCCAGGCTGAGTCACCTGTCCACAGTCACACGGTTCATTATGTGGCAGGGCTGGGGTCCTAGCCCAGTCTCCCCCCACGCCCAGGGTCTTCGCTGTCCCACACTACTTCTCAGCACCTGTGTTTGTCCACAGACGTTCACAAAGTGGCCCTTTTCCGTGCCCCATCAGCTTTCATTCTCCGGTAGAATAAGACATTTCCCACAGGGAATGAAAACTTCAGGACCACTTTCAGTGCCTGTAATATGCTTTGATATCTTGTGTGGGAAATAAACAGTAATTGAAGTTATAGGTTAGACTTCAGTGGTAAGCAGAAGAAAAGAAAAAAGAAAAAGGTTTAATGATTTACTCTCACGGAATGGAGGTGGGACTCGCGTCAGCTGCCAAGTAGCTGCCAAGAGGAGACCCAATGGTGACGACCTGGCGGTGAGGGGAAGTGTCCGTGGTTACAGTTCCTTCCCCTGGCTCCTGGCCTCCGTGGTGGAGCAGGATCCGGTCCCCACAGAGTCCTCACCCAGATGGCGTCACAACACAACATGGCACCAGCCACTGTCTTCCCTTCACCCGGCTCCTGCACCCGCAGTTCCATCACATCTGCGCCGTGTCTCTGTGCGTCCCACTGACCGCAGCACCTGCTGGCGTCGCTCCTGAGGCCACGGAGCCTTTGACTCGCCTGAGCCACAGCGGACTCTACTGGGGAAGGCGGAAAACGCCACGGCCACTGCCCGTGCCTCCCCCTGTTGGTAAGACCCCAACGCAAGAGGGTTTATGCTCTGCTGTCTCACCAAGATCAGTGCAATAGTTCGTCAGTTCTGCCCGGAAACTGTCCTCCCCGTAGGTTTCGAGTGTTGAGTCCAGAAAGCAGCCAGACCAGAAGATGAGTATGAGTGGCAGATGCCACCAAACCTTAACCTTCCTCTGATGATGAGCTTGTGTACTGTCACGTGTTGCCACACACTGCTGTGTAACAAGCCACCCGCAATTCAGTGACTTAACATGATTCATACTTACCCAGCTCACAGGTCTGCAGGTTGGCGATTCCGGCCGGGCAGGTCCTCAGGCCTCAGCTGGGCTCATGCACAGGGCTGGGGACAGTCGGCTGTGGGTTGGGGCCTCACAGATCTAGAGGTTCACTGGGGTGACTCAGTTCTGATCCACGTGTCCCCCTCCAGCAGGTGAGCCCAGGTGTGTGCTCGTGGTGCAGGCAGAGCTGCCAGGGCCTCCTACCCACCCCCTTGCCCCGTTCCCTTCTCAAGTCTTGCTACAAATGGATGGGCCCCTAGACTCACCTAGAGTCCTTAATGGGACCGGGCTGGGTCGTGTGCATGGTCTCGACCCCAGTGAATAACTGGGCTTTGATCAAACCTCCCCTCAAGAGCACTGAGCAGGGCCAGCTACAGTCTGATCAGTGGGTGACACCAAGGGTTGGTCTCAAGGGGCTGACAAGGGGGAGTATGATCCTACTGGACACAGGTGACTGTACAAAAAGCAGGAGGGAGGAGTAAGAAGTCATGTCCATAAGAAATGACAAGGGTTCAGCTAAGGAAGACAAATATTAAAATCAAGGCCAGTTCCAAAGGCAGACACAGGACCGTCAAACAAATGTCAGAGCGTAGAGTCAGGTGACTGACTGGGGACAAGTGCAATGAAGTGGGTCTAGCAGAAAGGTGCACCAGTGTTTTAACATGCTGAATTGCTGGGCCCAGTTCCCCTGATGTGAAGATTCTCCTCTGCCTCAGAGGTAAGCCATGGGGAGGGGGCTAGGAATCAAAGTCTCAGACGTTATGGCTCCTTTAAGCAAAGTTGTTCCAACTTCAGGGATTGTGCTGGGACCAAGGAGTCCTGGGAACCTTTGGACATGGAGTGACTCAGTCTTGGAGTGCTCGTTTTAGGAGCTACTTTTCATCTCTCATTCCACATGCAGGAAGGATTGGTTATGTTCTCCATGGGGGAGACAGCACCCTCCCAGTCCAGCTGTGTTATTTTCTTGTTGAATCTCCATGGTAATGCTGCAAGGCAGGTTGTAATGTTTCCATTTGCAGGTGAAGAAACTGAGGCTCAGAGATGTTGAACACCTTGCTGAACATCACAGCGCTCAGCTCCAAAGGCCATGCTGTGTCTGTACCAGTCTATCTGTCATATTTACCTTTGTAAGTGTCTGTCCCACATGTAACTTCCACTTTTCCTACTCTGGAAGGAACCTATCAGCCACCTTGTACGTTTTGACCCTGCCCCACTGGCCACAGCTGATTGGACCAGGGATATGCAGCCAAACCAAAGAAGGCCAATCAGATTATTCCCTGGGAATTTAGAATTTTCCATATACTACTGGTGTTATAGAGTCATTGTAGGTTTGATTCTAGCTATTTATTCCCTTTTCTTCTCTTTTACCTAGCTATCTAAGCATCAGATTTTATATTTTTAAATTTATAGCTATCTTTATCTTTAATTTTAACTCATTTATTGGGATTTTATCCAATTTTTGTCTCCTTTTTAGGTACATTTGGAATTTATAATGGCTTGTTTTAGCCTTTATTTCCATCATTTAAAATTTTTGAACACCATAGTTTTAGGCTAAAAAAGAAAAAAATAATAAAATTTATTTGTTTTACATTTTTAAACTTATTTCTATTGGATTTAAATATTTTATTTTTAAACATTATGTCACTTTCAATTTTTCCTTACTGTTAGAGGGGTCTTGAATTTTCTCATAAGGAGCCCCATTAGCACAACACTCCTGCCTCTCCCATCTCCCACTAACCCCACCCCAGAGCAGGAGAAATGACAGTCTGACACACGAGTTTAGAGAGAGCATCATGTGTCTGCCAGTCCCTTCCTCCCCTCTTCTCTTTAGGACTTGGCCTGCCTGCCGACCCCATGTTCTGAATTGCTCTTGGCCATGCCGTGAACTCAGTGATGAAGCCCTGCGCTGTGGGTGAGGGCAGGCGTGGTCTGTGGTCTTGCTGTGACTGGGTCCCACCTGACCGCCTGTTTCTGGGGTTCAGAATAAGGAAGCCCTTTTTCCTGGAGACCTGAGCTGTATTTTCCAGGACTGGCTTCTCCAGTGATAAGATAGTATTTTGGTTTCCACATTTCCTATCTTTTGTCTTCTTTCTCAGTTGATTCTTAATT